AACCAATAACAAGCTCGTTACCGTTTTATTTAAAAGTCACGCAGAGTAACAACTGACAACTTAATAAATATTTCTGGCGTCAGAATTACAAAGTTAGACTCTAAAAACATTGCATATTATTGGCAGGAACTCCGAGTTAAATATCTTTTGGTTTAACAGTTATACCCTGTTTAAACTACATTGTATATATTCAGGTCTTCCCTATTTAAGATGCATTCCCACTGAGAGAGAGAGAGAGAGAGAGAGAGAGAGAGAGAGGGGGGGTTAACGTCTACTCGACACAAACTAGGTCATTTCGGGACTAACATATGGTTTAATTTTATTTCAATAATTCGCATGCGCGTAGGGGTCTTTAGCAGTGGGAGGAAACCGGGCATTCCCACTGAAATATTTATAGGGCAGTTAATTCTAACAAAAGTGGCCATTATGGTATACCTGTACATGGAACGTAGAGACGCAATCTTACCAGAAAAATACTAGTTTTACGGTTTTGGATTCGTTCCTTTGTGAGGAATTTGAAGTAAACGTTTACACAGATAAATTAGTTGGAATATGTTTTTCAATATATCATCAAATCACACATGGGAAAACGAAAGACATCTTTAAAGAGACCAAACATCTTTGATTTATGTCGAAATACGTATTGAACTTGATTGATCTGGCATGTTATTTGCCTTAGTGATTGAACAAGCGCTACATACGATAAAATTGTCTTTGAGAAAGATTAAGCGAGAGAGAACAAGAATATTTCAAGCACCCTGGCACGCACTTGGCTATGGGCTTAGGAATGCTTAAGCCAATGTTTTGAAACATGACTTTACAAAACCCAAATCGGGTTCCTATTGGCTTCACGGTTGCTGACTATCTCATGTTATAATTAATTAGTTAGTTTTTCGATGAGGTAGGTCCAGAAGCCAACATCATTGTAAAAGATCGAGACCTTTAACTCCTTGGAAATAAAATCCCCGTATATTTAAATTAGTTCAAAAATTATCAATAATTTATCTTTATATTTTATACCTTTCATCTATATATCCCAGGAAACTAGTTTATCCTTATCTGAAATTTTAGTAACCTTGATTGCACGAGTCTACGCGTCATAACATCTGATGATTATTAACCACGTGAAATTATCTGCTTCCATCGTCAAATAGTTCGGCATGTATCTGATCAGTGCACATTTTTTTATGTGCATGTTCGTCCACCTGTCAAAACATAAAACACTAAACAATCCTAAAAAACATCGCAATCAAATTTCTTCCCGCCCTTTTCAGCAGACACGTGCATTAAAGAAGGTGACTTTTCCCGCCCTTTTCAACATGCACGTGTACTCAACGGAGTATCGAATCGTCCATCTTGCGGGTTAGTGTTTGTTTAAAGGTTTTGGATATATATTAGTTCAAGACGTTTGACTAATCGCAGACATCAAACATACCATGGACGATAACTAGCTCAATCTAACAAGCTGTTCCCAATCTCTGCTTATAGACTCAACAAAGGATTATTTACCGAGTTCAGATGGGCAAATAGGAACCATATAATATTTCAAAAATTCCAATTAGCAAAACATTTGTAAGTTCAGGGAACTAATTAAAGATTGGTTGTCAGACAACAAAACATACCCGTACCGCCATTTGTATATTTGAAATTAATTAGGCCTACCAGATATCATTTAAATCGGGTAGACATCTTCGTTAATGTGAACAAAACATTAAAAACCATAAACAAGATTTAAATATAGTCTGTACTTAGAGAGCTTATACACAAACTCCCCATGGACGATAACTCCAGGCATAAATTTCAGAAATCATTGAAATTCAATAGACAAATTTTGTCTCAATAATAAGAAAAACATACAACAATCAGATGATAACCCCAACAAGGTAGAAATATGCTAAGGTGGTAGTAGTACGTATGTATTCTTGTTACGACTTAAATATGGGGGCTAGGGTGTACCAGTGGTCTAACACGTATGCTTCAGGGCATAAGATATGTCATTGAATTGCGCGCAGTTTCGACCCCAATCGTGTACGTGACAAAGAGTATGCCCCTCTCTCTCTCTCTCTCTCTCTCTCTCTCTCTCAAACAGCTATAATTAAAGTCATATTACATTACCTGTGTACTAACAAAAATTGTCTTATTTTTAAGTTAATGTCAATCATTTTGTGGTTTATTTATTTTGTATGGCATCACAGGTGATATATAAGGTTTGTGTTCACGGTACAGGTAACTTGTTAAATAAACCTGTCTTAATGTAAAGATGCAGAGTTAAGGTGTATTTTTTTACTCTGTATATTATACATGTGTTCCAAAACAGCTGTTAAACACGAGGTGTTACTTACTGCTTTAACACCTTTCTACTGACTATATAAATCTATCTATATGTATACTATATCGATATATATTCATTAATCTGTGATAATTTATGGTGTATCGCGTACAATTTATGAATTTATCACCCTGATAGTTCGAGTTTTTCGATAGCTAGTACTTAGTGCTTAATAAGTTGTGGTTCAATGGTATAAGTTTACAGTGCGATAATCATATCCGTGATATATATACATGTGTATATATATATATGGTTTCACACTTTCTTTGTTTACAATATATTTATCTATATATCATCTATCTTTAATCTTTATCCTAAAGAAAGTCAGAGGATTGTGTACTTTATTAACGGCTTTAATCTTATCTCAGATCTAGAGCTTGACATGGTTCAATCAATACCATATTCAAAAAAATACGAAATGTTCCTAGATTTATGAAATTGCCATTCCTGTTATAGGAATAAATTATGTCCGTTTCTTTTGAAACTACCTTTGGGGTCTTTTAAATAGTATATTGAAATGTAGTTTAACGTCTTGCATTTCTGCACCAACCGGGTTAATGAAGACGAGCATATACCAGGCTAAATCTATTTGTTAAGGCCAGCTCAATTTTGATCAAGGTCGCTGAGATGTAAATAAGGTTAGGGCATGTGATTGTTGGCGCGATTGTAGGTTAGGGTTAGGGTAAGGGTTGACCTTTGACCAAACTGGAAGCTGCTCTTATCAAATAGATCTAACCGCATATGCCATGCAGTATACTACGAGAGACATTTTGCCCGAACAGTGGCGTTTCCGCTTACTCTTCGTCAATTCCCCGACAGCATGACATCTTCATTATCCCGGTTTGGTGCAGAAAAGTGCAGTTCAACTACATTCCGTCAACTAGTCGCAATACCCACTAATTCTTACTAATCCAATGTGTATACTGTATTTAGAATCGCACACCTCTTGTGACATAAACTTTGTATTTATTATACTGAGCATCTATCACCTTGTCTCTTGTATAAAATAAAGAGACTTTAATACATTTTATTTTTAGACACATATTTAATCATTGTTTATGAAATTAAAATATTTCTCCTGTAATTAATCAACTTATTAAACCACGCCCCACATGTTTGACATATGATTTATCTATATGACAAAAGCTACATATTTACATGTAACTAGTTTCTCTTATTATTATAATGAAACGTTAAAACGGTGTAGAGACTATTTCTAACTATATTAATACTAACCACGTATGGTGATATCTGTCGGTCACCGTATGCCATGGGGTTCCTTACGAAACTGTCCCTCTTAGCTGTAAGTGGTGTGAGACTAACATCTTGCATAATCATATTTCAATAATTCGCGTGTGGGAGGAAATTGGAGGACCAAGAGAAAACCCGCGAGGTTCGGCAGGCGACCCTACTCTATGGATCGAAACCAAGCCACTTGACTTATAGCAGGGTTTATGATCAAAACCGCACGCGTTAGTCCACTGGGCCACCCAGGCCCCTTATGATGACGGACATTGAATTTGGTTGCTCTTAACGACCGACCGATTGTACTATATCTTATTTTTTTTATTTTTTTTACATTCTGCCAACAAATCTGTACGTTATACCTGTGTATAATATTACCCTCCTTTACCCTTTGAACAAAATATACCTACAGTATCATAATAACAGGGAAAGGGAGGGGGGGGCATTATAGTATTGTGTATATCAAAGCTCGCAAATAACAGAATATGTGCATATTAAGATCTGCACTACGGGTTCATGAAACGTGGGAAACCGATAAAATGTTACTAAATGAGCTGGAATGTGTGCGTGTAAAATCACCATGTTTGACAGGTCATGAGGTCACAGATCAAAGTTAAATAGTAAATGAAATATTGAATTGTAAAGATTTTTTTTATTTTGATAACGGTGGTCTGCAGGGTTATGCACTTAGATGTTCATTATTTGTTATGTATTATAATAAATTAAAATACGTCAACAGTGAAGTAGTTATTTATTGATTGCAACTTCGTAAGCAATATATAAATATATTGTATTATTTTGACAACGGTGGTCGACAGGGTTATGCACTTATTTGTGTGTTATTTATTATGTATTATAATAAATTTTGATACGTCAACAGTGAAGTAGGTATTGAATGCAACTTCGTAACACTTATCAAAAATATACATGTATAAATATATTTTATTATTTTGATAACCGTGGTCGACAGGGTTATGCACTTAGATGTTCGTTTTTTGTTATAACATTGATATGTCAACAGTGATTCAGTTATTGCTTGCATTTTCGTAACACTTATAAGCAACACATAAATTTTACAAGAATGTAGAGAAACTGTATACGAAATTTAGTATTGGTGTAAGGTTCAGCATTTGATGCTAGACAGTGTATATATGTATATGACGTGTGTGACTTTGACTTTAACATTGACATACGGGGATATCAAATTAACACTTAAAAAGACTATTGTTTGTAAGGCATTTAGGGATGGGAAACTTTGAAAAACAGCTTTATGATTGACAATCACCAGCAACTTTATAAGTGCAACGTTTTACCAATTATTCTCTTGTCGTTATCAAGTACAAGGTAATCAATAATATGATACAAAAAAGGCTGAAAGTGAATATTGAAGTAAGAGTAATCGACACAAATATATGAAATTAATTACCTGAATCACCATTAGGTAAACTTGTTACTTCACTGTCCATTGTTACAACTCTTTCAGCTCTGTCCTCTCGGGAAACTTGAACTCGGCGTAACGGGCTGACAGCTGACGGGAGATACGGACTGCTGTCCGAATATTGCGTATAGTCTCTACTGCTTGTCATTGCTGGGGTGGCAGACCGTGACTCTTCTGTCAAACTCGTTGACATGCCACCGTTCCGTAACAATGATGCCGTAAATCGTCCACGAGGTGGCGATACAGGACTATTTGCATTATCTCCCCTTGGAGTACTCGGATCGGCGGACCCATGGTTACTTAGGGTGCTTAAGTTACTTCTACTGTCTATAGAACCGGCATGTCTCCTTCCACCAGAAGGAACCCATCTGAAAAGGAAACACATTACAATTTTAAACATAGTATAATACCACAATCAAAACGTTTGTCCTGGTGTAATGAGCAGTTTCAGAATGTCCCAGGTTTAAATCATGAGATTGATACGACAGAATCTTCGGCACTTTTCAAGCCCCGATCTGCAGGGCTGACAGGGAAAGAGTGTCTAGTCTTTCGAGTGGGACAAAAATCCGAGGTCCGTTTTACAAATTGCTAGCGTAGGTAGATCAGTTCTTGGTTTATTGAGAATATGATGAGTCTCGGGTTATTTGAAATACGATATTATTTAAACAATAATTAAATTTATGCCAGAGTGATATTGCCTTAAAGATGCATTATGTAAGATTTGGATAAAGAGCTGACAGATAATGAAAAGGGAATACCCGTATGTTGAAAATTTCAGTCAAATTACTTTATTCTGAACGTAGTCCCAATTGTCATTGCTACCCATTGTTACAATAATAAACAATGTCTCGATTATCCAATTTTAAATTCAATTATTAAATGACGATAAAGTTTCAATCCATTTAAAATGACCACCGATCGTTGTTCTAGAGAGGTGATTATGGGCTTGTGTGAATTAATGTCTATAAATTAATAATTTATATAACATTTGGAGCCAAAAGAAAAACCTGCAATAGGCAGATTTAGCTTTTACATAATGCATATTTAAACATGATTTCATTCCATTCACATCAACTAAAGTCTTATTCATACTGCATACTTAAAAATTTGCCCCACCCCCAGCACATGCAATTTATGGTTTTTATTTTAAAGGAGACGACCTATACCAGCTCACAATTACCATTAATACTCCAATAGTCACAGATTTGTTAATTGTTTTGTTTAAAGGACTGTCGGACACGTGAACCCCCTCAAACATTGAAAGCGTATTCGGATTTTTCTTTGCCAATAATATTAGTATTTCCTTTTGGAGAATCATATATATCAAAACATAATAAGATGGTTTTCAGGTACTATTCCATGACATAAATATAAATAACTTTAAAGACGGGGTTGTTATTACAGTTGTTGGTTAGCGTTCAAAAACAGAAACACGAGAAACCTCTTTGAAAACAGTAAAATAAATCTTAAAGTTGATGTCAGACATCGTGGGAGGTGTACAAAGCTAGTCAATTGGTCTCTCATGTTAAGACCTAGTGTTTTTCTAAACCGCAGTTTTTACTACCTTGTCAAACTTTCAAAACTTCTTAAATTACATAATAAAACGTTCTAATCTAATTAGATATCTAAACTCAATTTGTTTACCAGATACATAAGCACTGGTACCATGTTATCTATTACTAAAGACATACAGAACACCGCTCTACACCGATGAAATTACAGAACTTCAGTGACAGTGCCGGATTTAGATGAAAAGAGGCTCTTTGCTATTCATGTATTTATCCCATTTATGAGGCTCCTACCTTCACGACTAGCGGAAGATGAAATGATGTTTTAACCCCAACTGCCAAGCCTATGGGCAAATCCGGCATTGTTCAGCGAAGAACACCCCGTGGAGTACAGAGATTTGATGATGTCTAGGGCCGACTCCGTAATTGTATGTCCCTATAACTCAAGTATAGGGCACACTACCGGTAGTGAGAAATGTGAAAAGTAGGACATTTTAAATAAGTAAAAACATGAAATAAACCCTTTTATTCAAATTGAATATTAATCAGACACTTTTATCAGGTTCGGTGACCCAAATACGATCTCCTGTCAGAACACAGATTACAATTTCTGTATTTGACTGGATCCCCCCCCCCCCCCCTCTGAAATGCCCCTCCCCCTGAAATGGATACCGGGAGTAATCGTAGCTCTCCTGGTAGGGTCAATGGCCAGCAATAAAGACTCTCACTAACAACAAATGTGTAAGGTTTTCTTTGTAGTTTTTTTTTATTCGTTTTGCAGATAGTTTGTTTGCTTAGGAGTATGTTCAAACGTTATGCGATTCAAATTTGATACCCATCATGATATTATGTTCCCCATAAACTGGGATGAGTAAAGTTGCTAAACCTCCTTAATTCATGTCAAAAGAATTGGGTTTGTCTGGTATTTTATTTCAATTGGTAATAGGACAAGCTCTATACGATTCAATTTTTGTGTTGAACGATCAAGCGCAATTTGATCTGTTTACTGATTTTAATCTATATTTTGGCTGAAACTGTCGACAATGGAACGTAAAATTAGTTGCATTACTGTGTCCAAATATGTGAAAGTTTAAACAAAAACAGATTATTATTCCATACAAAACAAATCGAGTTATAAAATCAACGTAAATCGACAATCAAAAAGATGGTCATTTTAAGTGAGGGTATGAAGCATCACTGGAGTCATGGCAACAACTAACAGTGATTGACATTTGTAATGGATCCTTGTTACCCTTTAGATTAGAAATTCGATAAACATAAATGACAGACAAAATAATCATTATCTCTTAAAAGTTCAAGACAGTTGGATAACCCAGTATATCTTTAAAACATATTTGACGCGATCTTTTCCTACAAAGCAGAGGGTTGTGTTTTCATAAAAATATCTTGTTCATTATTTGGAGGACGAGCTCATATTCACTGATAAAATTTGTAGAAAAATAAACTTCCTGGCTTGCCTACAAACAACCAAAGCAAAGAGTTTATTCTTATCAAACTAATTTTCTCTTATCGAGATCATAAATCGTGTTTGGTGTCAGGAGTGGGATGTTTTTTGTTTGACACCTATCAAAACACTGCCCAATAAACACTCGTAGATAAAAGATGCTACTTTTTGTTGGTTCCATCGGTGAGCATTCGCTACGCAATTTCCTTCATTACACAATCAATATACAAATCTTAACGAAAGTTCAAAACTTGAAACTCGATATTTCGCTTAGAAAAAAATAACCGCATTGAAAATATGAATGTAGCTAGCCTTGCGAAGGGCATAATAATACCAATAGATTAGCACTAGTCACCTGAATTATATATTCTCACTTCTTTTATGTCTCAAACCATGTTGAATATTTCAGTCAAAATACTTTATTCTGAGCGACGTTATGAGTATTTTTAAAGGTAGTCCCGATTTTCATTGCTACCATTGTTACAATAATAAACAATGTCTCGATTATCCAATTTTAAATTCAATTATTAAATGGCGGTCGTGTGTCAATCCATTTAAAATCACCATCATTCGATGACCTAGAGAGTTGATTATGTGATTGTCGTGTGAATTAATGTCTTTAAATTATACATTTCTCACTTCTTTTATGCCGAAGTGCGGCACCTCAATGTAGGCGAGAATACGGTGATTGGATAACGATATGCTAACCGGTGGCAAATGAAATGGGGTTTAACGTCCTATTTTCTATTTTAAGACGGAGGATAAGCACGTGCCTTCACCTGTCATAATAGAAGGCTAGCTTGCAACGTTACCTTTGGTCCATGCAAAGAGAGAGAGAGAGAGAGAGAGAGAATGAGAGAGAGAGAGAGTTTAACGTCCGTTCGACAAAAACTAGGTCATTTCGGGACTAACACATGGTTCACTTTTTATTTCAATAATTCGCTTGCGCATAGGGGTCTTTAGCAGTGGGAGGAAACCCACGAGGTTGAACAGGCGACCCTACTCCTTGTCACGTACAACCGGGGAATCGTAAACACGCCAGTTGACTCAATGACAGACTTTATGATACAGCGCGCACGTGCTAACCATTCAGCCATCCAACCCCTGGTCCATGCAAAAAAACAACAACATAGGGTTGTTTGGGAGATGATCGCAAATCCCTAATCGGAAGTATTTTCAAATGGTAACACTTGTTATACATGCTACGGGATTACCACGATGTAATTTGATGTGCAATTAGACCTCATTACATTTACCGTTTGAAGATATTTTGTTTGCGGAAATTTTCACATAGCCCCAAAATATACCTTTATGCCAGTACCCCGTCAGTTGACAATGGTATTCAACTGTGTATCTCATCAATATATTATTAACCAAAACATATGACAGCCTTGATCACACTCTGAAGAGGTTCATCTTTGTTCGTGATTTATTTCCCACAGCAGTTCGAATAATTTACTACAAATTTGTTTGAAATGTTGGACTATACCCGAATCATGTTTCATTGTATTGTGTGTTAATGAGCGACTTGATACTCGAGTACAACACGTTTACTATTCAGGGCCTACATCATCAAAGTTAAAGCGACAATAAGTCTGTGGAGGTCATCAGTCAGTCTTTGATCATACTAAATGTTAATGCATATTGATTCAACGTTTTAACACGTTAAATTACGGTACTTGCAACAGTTTCGAATAATGCCCAGGAAAACGCCATTTACCATAAACAAGCTAATTATTTCCTTGACAACTAATTTAAGAATTAATGTTTTCAATTGTTGTTGTATTTGATTTTAATAAATGTTTGTAGGTTCCAATGTCTGTTGACAACTAGACGTGATTTGTTTATATAAATTAATAACAATATAGTGTTACATGTACTTTAAAAAAAATTGCAATGGATTTTATTTTTAAAAAAATAAAAAACGATCTCGTCCTGTTCGAAAGCTTTTTCTGGGTAGATCAACTTGGGTTGAATTATACACAATCATGTCACAGCCAAAATGTCTGTTCGTCAAGATGCGGAGGGATAGTGTTCATACTTCCTCAAATATGATAGCCCGGACATTAGCTTGCAAATATGTGTTCCGAAGTCCTCCTAGGGCCTAACCCCGAAATCCCATTTTGACTCCTTACGCTGATAGCCCACACCCTAAAATATACATTTCGAGTCTGATATTACAACGGGATTTTTGTTATATTCGACATGAAATTAGCGCTCGATGGCACACCTCTTTTAAAACGATTTCATATAATTATATATTAACATAAGTACAAAATTAGCGCTCGATGGCACACCTCTTTTAAAACGATTTCATATAATTATATATTAACATAAGTACAAAATATCTCTTTATAATATCATCTACCTGACAGGCGTATTATCAGGTAGTTCA